TAAGTACTAACTTGTCTGAAGATGGGTCCAGGATACTTGCAGCCGAGCAGCTGGATGTTGGCATAGACTTGTGCCAGGCAGACCAGCCGGTCCTCTTCTATAAGAGACTTGTGGGTCTCCATGAACTCCTTCTTCAGGTTCCAGTGATCCAGGGGCTCGAATTTGGTGCGGTACTGTTCTATGTCCCAGTCTGTGTTCACCCCCATGGTGTCTGAACTGTAACACAATAATTGTTAATATAATAATTATAAATATTAACACAATAATTATTGATATTAATGTGCAACATTAGGAATCATTTCCATGGTGTCTGAAGTGTAACACAATAAATATTAGTGCAGCATTAGGAATCATTTGATTGCAAAACTTCAGGCAAAAATATTGCTTACAATATAACAAGGATATTTTGAATACAATTCAGAGAGGTTCAAATGAAAACTAGGTTTAGAAGTAACAGTTCAGATAATTTATTACAACTATTGATCAATCATTCATTGTTACATAATCAATCTTGTGTATAAAATGGTTTTGCAGCCAGGCTGTTGATGCCCTCTGCTCTAAGCAACTGTGAACAGGCCACTGTGCAGAGAGTGGATGAATTTTGCAAGATCTTTGGCGACGCTTCAGTAGCAAAATTTACGCCTTCAGAAGATCTTGCCAACACATTTAGATTGAAATTCTTGCATTTAATATATTTGTCAATCTTTGGCCAACTGTTTAGAAAAAAGTAAGGTTTCCGGTACATTGGATGGATCAGGATGCAGTAAAGCTTGTCCGGAAATCGGTTGCGATGAGTTCCCGCCAAAAAAAATGTAAACAAAATCATAGTTGTGGTCACATTGGAGCGGTCAGACTGCATCATTTGCTGTTCAGTTGACATTTGCTGTACAATCGGACTGTTTTTAGGGTAAAATTAGTCATTTGGGGTAATATGTGCATGCAACCTTGTAAATAAGTTCGTGGCTTGTAAACAGTTTTTCATTACTCAGCGTAAATGGCTTTTCATTAAAAATTACCCGGCGACGCATCTTGAAANGCGACGCATTTTGAAAGTGGTCGGCGATGCTTTGGGCTTAAAAACCCATATATTGGCATTGCTGCTTCCACCTTTTGCACCCTGGTGAACAGGGTTGTCAACTTGTCATAGTGCATGATAGTGGTATGGAGCAGAGGTAATAGCTGACATGAAGTTCTAAGTTAAAAATTCATGACGGCTATTACTGAGCTGCCGCCATTCTAATCTGGAACATTGGGCAGAAGTTTCCTAAAATTGCAGGCAAGAACATTCCTTTAACAATTCCAAAGGTGATCTCCAAAATCACAGAGGAAGGTATATTTTAGAAAGGCAGTTTTTTATTTTTATTAAAGAAATTGAGAAACAGCCATAGGAAGATTGAAATTGGCCAGATTTACAGGAGCTGCAAGTTTCCTGCTACATGCTAGAGGAATTAAATCCTTTCCAAATTCCAATTGTTAGAAAGAGGGCACAATTCAATGCCAATTGAGCCATAGGCCCTCAATATGCCTAAATGCATTGAAAAATTTGCCACTTTGAAGCCACAGAATTTCATTATTATGCAGGAAAATTATAATACTTGCTGCAATCATTTTGGGAAGCTGGGCAGAAGCCACTAGCCCACTGTGCAGAGAGTGAACGAAGATTTAAAGACCTACGGCGACGCATTATCGGCAAAATTTTCGCCTTCAGAAGATCTTGCCGACACATAAGTTATTTTTACACAGTTATTTTTATGTTTCACCTTTCCTACATGGATGTCTACTTTAATCTACCAATCTCAAAAATAATCCACATATATATACAAAAAAGACTGATTTTTATATGTATCTGTGGATAATTTTTTAGATTGGTAGATAAAGTTCACATCCATGTAGGGAAGGTAAAACATAATAATAACTGTAACTTTTATTTACTGTATCTAACCCATACTAGTGCGGTTAGATTAATTGCAATAAAGTTGCATTGATATATTTTAAAAATGTTTTATTATCATTAAATGTTAATGAGTAAATCCCAATAGCAGTACAATAAATATTAAGAGATTTCTAATAATTTTGGCCATTGTAGCGGCTAATGTAGCGCGCTACATTTTACTGTAGCGATAGCGGTAGCGCCCGTTACAATCTAGTGGATGTAGCGGTAGCGGTAGCGCCCGCTACATTTAGAGCATGTAGCGGTAGCGGTAGCGGAGCTACATTTCAAAGTAGCGCTGCCCAGCTCTGTCAATATCAATAATACGAGTATAAAATGGTAGACTAAAAAAATAACGTTTGCTGCAGCCTGCAAAGAATTGTTTAAGCGCACATCAACAGTTTCATTCCGATTTCCGTCCCGTCGGAATATTTTATGACTAACGTATTTCAACTCATACTATGATAATTTTTATTGTTTAGAAAGTGCTTATTGACTCTTTGAACATAAAAAGGATATACTGTAGTGTAATATACAGGAGTTTAGGCGTGAAGCTTCGCTGATTACGTTTAAATCTTCACATGCCTACAGAATATCACTAATATTTAGGAGCAGAACTAATAATTTATGATTTATAGTGAATCCATTATTAATATTTCCGTAATTGATATCTCCGAATTTCAAGGAGAACAAAGTTGCCGATGAATCACGAAAATATATATTTTTTATGGCTTAACAATAGCCACGAGCTGCATGCACTTTAGATATTTATTTCCTGACTTTCTCAGGTACGACAAAAAACGATTAAGAACGCCTAACGCAGTTAAGCCTATTGAAGTGGACACGTAGCTCTATGATTCGTCGAGACCGTGGGTTTGGCCTCATCAGGTGAGGTGCATTGGGAGGCATAAAGGAGGCAGGGGGTAGAGGTGCTGGGTAAAACGCAGAAGCAGTTTTGACCAGTCAGATCGATCTTGCCATGCAGACAATCTGTATGCGCGTTTTTCACTTTGGCTGGTAAAACTTATAACTCACGATTTAAATCTAAGTGTGTAACATAACCTACACCATATTTATTGATAAATAGACAATTTCAAAAAAAAAATTCTGATGAATTTCGATAAAAAGGCGATACAGCAACTTCTAATCGAAACCTGAAACTAAAAGGTCCAAGAATTTCTGTATTTCGTCTCAAGAATTTTTAAGCGCGGATCGCAACAGGTTTGTCTTGAGTCTTGGCAGTGCTACAAGTCAGTGTATAATTAGCAGTGGTCGAGTGAAGGTCGATGACGCGCAGTTAGAAACTTGAGCTGCTGCCTGGCGACAGGAATGTTTGTGGCTTATCTAATATTCATTATCTCAAGGTACTTTTCGTGCCGCGCGTGTGAACTATAAGCATTTCGCGTTGTGAATTACCTGATAATAATTATTATTTCTATTGTCGACAAGCCTCATACTTGGAGGTGAAAAACACGTTAACCGAATTGTGAATTCTGGCTACTCCAAATTCTGCGCAGTCTGCCGCGGGAAACATTTTCCACGCATGAAAAAAGTACATCTTATGTGCTATAATGTTTTAGCCTTTAAGATGTATGAACTAAGTACTAACTTTATTTTATCTGCAATATCCCCCATGACTACAAAATATTACTATAATCTCCTTCAAAACTCCTAATGAGTGATTAGAGAAGTGTCTAAATAATATTTTATAAATGTTGAGCCCGTGAGCAACGTAAGTGTGGTGATGATGGCGGACTCAGGGTGGCCGTAACACGGCTAGAGTGTGCCGTAGGAAGGCTGGGGTGTGCCGTAGGAAGGCTGGGATGTGCCGTAGGAAGGCTGGGATGTGCCGTAGGAAGGCTGGGATGTGCCGTAGGAAGGCTGAAGTTTCACGCCTCATTATGCCAGGCACGAAGCAGTCAAGGCTAAAGTGCTGGTCACGCATGACGTGAAATTTACTTAAAATAATAATCTTTAAAATAATTAAATTTATTATCGCTATTTATATTAAATTATCAATAATACTTGATTATAAACATTTTATAATATATAATTAGCTGTTTAACAAAACATTTATTTTGAATAATGACGACTTTGCATCTGTTGAACGAACTTTGAAGCGATAGTTGGGTGGGATTATATACATACTTACTGGTGAATATATCTTTTTATTGTATATTTTAATGTTTGAATTGATGTGTAACCACATATTATCTATACAGTCAGTATATTTTACTGTATTGACTATTATAATCCATTCTCTTTCCCCAGCCAATATACAGTACCATTGCGCTTCATATATGGTGCTGTCTTTGTTAATATATATTACTGTATAAATATAGTAACTACAGAATTCGTTTAGAAAGAATATAAGAATATAAGTTATAATATTTGCCATAGAAATCAATAAGAATATAAAGGTATAGTAAATGCTGTAGAAGTAACGTAAAAATAACCTATAATAATTGCTATAAAAGCGTTACGAGAAGATAATGGTATTATAATAACTATATAAAGTATATAAGAATATAATGGCTGGGGCCAGCATCGTGGGGCGCAAGATGGCCGCGTTACGGCCGGTTTACGGGCGGCCAGGACCGGTCGTCAGGCTGCGGCCAAACGCCGCCTATACCGCGACCATACGGCGCCCAATGTCCAGCGGTACGCGCGAGGGTATATTATATACTTATATGCCACACTATATATCTGTGACTAGACTTAGATATTATATGTGTCATCTGTATAATGTGTTATCTAGTGTATAGTGTGTTATCAGTGTATAGTGTGTTATCTAGTGTTCATGTATGTAGGTACCGACGTGTACCTACTATATTGTTCACGTTGTTACATCGACGTACAAATTGTACCCGTTCAGTGACTGGATTCGTATGTTGAAGCNTCTAGATGTGTATAAGAGACAGGTTATATACATACTGTGTAGTCTATTATATACATACTGTACAGTCTGTTATATACATACTGTATAGTCTGTTATAAACATACTGTATAGTCTATTATATACATACTGTATAGTCTGTTATATACATACTGTATAGTCTGTTATAAACATACTGTATAGTCTATTATATACATACTGTATGGTCTATTATATACATACTGTATGGTCTATTATATACATACTGTATGGTCTATTATATACATACTGTATGGTCTATTATATACGTATATGCCACGTTACATATCGATTATATAGCACGTACATGTCACATTATATCTGTGACTCGATTTAGATATTATCTGTGTCATCTGTATTTCGTATGTTGAAACAAAACAATATTAGCATTTAAATTGTGTATTAACACAAGTAAATCGGTTAGTTAGCACCGATGTTATTGTATTGTTTTTATTTTGTGTTAATACACAGCTGGGGCCCCGCCGCTAGCTGGGCTCCCCCAGGCGGACCGCTTCAGCGACCGATTTACAGCTTGAATTTCCATGAATGATATGAAATTATTTACAGGACGGCGCCGCGACGCTCAAAACAACCTCCCCAAAACGGCAGGCGGCACCACACCTTCACTGCAGGTCTGACAGGTCCGACCTGCACGGCAAGGCCTCCGTGCACAACCTGCACTGCAGGCCAGGAAAGAATAACCTGCAGGACAAGAAACCCGTGGATGACTTGAACACCCACAGGGATGGAGCTTCCAAGTCGGCAGCTCAGACAGGTTCTGGGGTTGAGGACAAGTCTACAAACTCCGTTGGGGACTTGGACGGTGCACTGGGGGACGGTGCAACGGGGGACGGAGTGCTTGGGGACGGTGCACTGGGGGACAGGATCGAGCATAGGCGACTCATCGAGTCTGTGGACCTCGAGGATGAAGGGCCTGGAACTTCAAACATGAAACCGGATTTTGAAACCCAAAACAATTGTCGATCTGAAGAAGAGAGTTCAGGTCCGCAGGCCAGGGACGATGATGGGACGACCGGCTTGCGTAAACGCATTAACCATCATTTTGATGTAGATATATCTTCAGGTCATCAAATTGAATCAATAGAAGCGGGAAAAGCTCCTATCAAGTTCCCTGATGAAGTTCTAACGACACCAAAGGTTCCCACTCTTGTCAATCTTGCTTCAATGGCCGCGTCTTCAGTCCATGAATGTTTTGATAATCCGGAGTCCCCAGCAACGCCCGAGCCTCTCGTGGGGCGCGAGACTTCTGACGGGGAACGAGACTCAACTGCCCCGTCCACTCCCTCTCTGTCCAGTGGGAGCGGGCAGTCCTCTGTTGGAGACTTCACAGTCCTGGGAGCAACAGAACTAAACTAGTAGCCTTGCTTTGCTAAGTAGCCAAAATTAGAGACTTGATTTGCAACGGTAGAAAGACTACGGTTGAAAGGTAGAAGGTAGATTTGTAGAAAAGTGTTTAGCAGTTTTCACTCCGTATATACGAGTTCAAATATTGAGGGAGACTGTACCATACAATGAGACTTTTTTACGCGAGGAAAGTCGTGACTATGCAGAGAAACAAGACTGGCAAATGGAGTACGGTAGGTAATGATGGCTACAAAATAAAAATTCCAAATTTTAGATACAATAAATAATCATGGATGTGACTTTCTAAACAGATTCATTAATTTAAAGTTCTTTGGTATATAGTTATTTTGTAGAAGAAACAACTTTAATTTTAATTAATAGTCTGATGTAAATGGTCATAATGCTAATTAAGTTAGGGCATTGTAACTTGTAGCTGTTTAAAAAGCTGTTAGTTTACAAAAGCTAGCTATATATGCCAGTTTATATTCTAGTCTGAACAGCGAAAATTTCTAGTGAAAGTATTTTTATAAAAACATTAGAGATTGACTTACGTCAGTTGTATCCCTGCAGAGACTACAGTGCTTCAGTGTATCCGACACTGAGTGGTTAGGTTGTTCTTTCAGGTAAATATCTTCTTCTATTTAGGGTGTATTACAATTATTTCAAAACCTGATGCCTACGTTTTCCTGTTTGTATGTGTACTGATACTACATGCCAATTTTCCTCAATGATATTTGGTGTGTAGACAGTGGAGCGTATGGTTCCTTGGCGAACAAATTAAAGTTTAGATTTCAATCCATGGTATACGAGCAAATATGCACATAAATATACATAGTTTTTCGTCGGAATTTGCTTGAAATACTAAATTTATCTAACAAGATATTATGCTTCTAACAGATATTATTGTTTTAGAGTGTGCGTTGACTGGTTGGTTTGATTCAACAATTATTCAAGTTGCTTCCTAGTCTTTATATTCGCCATGTTGGAAATGAATATTATATTGCTAGCGTGTAAGGAGAGCTTGTAGAATTAAGACGTGATCAATTTAAAAAGTTAATCCTTTATTTCTAGCTTTGTGAAAGATTCACGCGGTGAAATTCCTGCCTGAGTCAAGGACTTTGAAGTGAGATTGCGTTGAATTTGATAAAACCATTATCCTAATAAATATATACTACTGGCTTAAGTCAATATCCACTAGGTATCACTCGAAATGGTGGATGCGTAGACTAGAAAAAGACTGGGTTCTGCCTAAATAATTTATAATTCTGAAGGTTGAGCCAATAATTGAATATAATTTCTCGAGTTAATTCTATTATTCATTATATATGCAAGTAATTATAATTAAATCGATTTATTATTGAATTGATTGTTAGCTGCGTTAATGATGGCTTTGCGTGCCAGTTGGGGCTCTTTGGACCAAGTGTGTTCTCATGTGGTAGCCATTAAAAAAATAACGTAAGAATTAAGAGTTTAGTTTCATATTCCTGTAATCAGATATTTTAGTAAAAATATTGTTAATATAAATTTTTCATTGTATGTCATTCGAGTTATTTGCAACCTTCCCTTCCCTCTACGGGCAGTTCCACTGAACGTGTTGAAAATGCGGGTTGAAAGATTCCTGGAGAACAGAAACTGTTGAGAATTTCTTAAATTTATTGGAACTCATAAATTAACACAAAACTTGACAAACTACACAATCATAAATTACCCCTTCACTTCCCATGTCATTATATAAATTATATAAATGTTCTTTTAGTTTGTTTTATGCGCCAAATCAAAAAAATGAAAGTCAGGGTGCTGTAGGATGCAAGCTTAATGAATGTCAAGGTGCTAAATATGGTCTAATAAGAAACATAGAACGTCTAAGTATTTTCAATAGGATTAGATAACTATTCATAATACTGTAGAGTTATTATTTAAACGTAAGTTCAATTTCTGAGGCCAGTCCTAGCCTTAGCCTGAGTTCCATCCCTCCGTGCCTTTGCCCCAGCAGCGTCTTTAGCGCCTACAAACGTGCGCTGCAGCTTGCCGGCCCGCTTCTTGTGATACTGCGCGCCCAGGCCTTTGCCCAGCTCTTGTACCTGAACACCGCTCCATGTCATTAGAAAAACATGTATATTCATTAGGAGAATATGAAATATACCATACATCTGGACTAAATAAAGTACTGCATACAATATCAGATGAATTAACTAAAGTATTGATGAATCAATTCCTGTTGTTGTGTCTGAGAAGAGACTAAAAGTTCAGTTGTATGAGAATTATTATTATGCCTCCTGTACCTGAACACCGCTCCATGTCATTAGAAAATTATGTATATTTGTTAGAAAAGCATGAAAAATATAATGTACATCTGAAGTAAATGAAGCATTGCATTCAATATGAGACTAAATAACTCAACTATTGATGACCAAATCCTTTTCTTTTGTCTGAGAGGAGACCTAAATTTTAGTTGTCTGAGAATCTTGTCCAGGCAATCGTGATTCAATTTACTTTCAGCAAATTCAAACTGCATTTTAAAGCCATTGTAATCTATTATTTTCAACAATTGAAGATGCAAACTGGTAGAAAGTTCTGATAATTTATATTTTATTAACACATGATCTATGATCTTAGGTTTTATTCTTTTAAATGTATCCTTAAATTTTATACATGTTGAGGGAGTACTTGTGTTCTAAATGTATTTTATTTTATAGATGATTGAGCTCGTCTCCAATACTTTTCCAATCATGATATACCTAGTGAATTTACTTGCCGCTTGATTGCTTTTAAATTTTTGGTTAACTTGCAGCATAAGAAAAATAATGATATAAAGGCTGTCCATTAAGTCTGGACACATAGTAAAGTTAAATATTTTTCAAAATAGTATTCAAGATTATTAATCCACAGATCAATTATGGCTTTGATAAAAGAATGATGGCGCTCATATTGAAGATGTTATTTGAAATAAATAAATATAGTGAAAATAAAACTTATTTTTTAATTATATACCAAAAGTATTCCGCTATCATACGTGTCCAGACTTTATGGACACCCTTTGTATAAGTACTAACTTGTCTGAAGATGGGTCCAGGATACTTGCAGCCGAGCAGCTGGATGTTGGCATAGACTTGTGCCAGGCAGACCAGCCGACCGGCGACGCATCTTTAAAATGGCCGGCGACGCTTTGGGCTTAAAAATCCATATATTGCCGAGTGCCGACGCTGCATCCACCCTCTGCATAGTGGCCACTAGCCAGTTCAAGTCACTCATGAATGAGATGAAAACAATCATACATTCAAGCTTATGGATGTGTGATAAATTTTACTTATTTTTCTAGCCCTTGCCCTATTTTTTTCCAAGATTAAAAGAAATGAAAAATGGCATATTTTTGCCTGCAATTCTTAAAAATTGTCCATAAATAATAGTTTTACCCAAATAGCCCAATTGACTCAAATCACTCAATATCAATTAACATAATTTTTGGAAAATTCTGTTCAAAAATTTCCGATTGGATGCAAAAGATTTCAAATTTATCCAAAAATTTGATACTCCAAAGCTGCAATGTATTATTTTTAGTCAAACGCAGGATTGGAAAATTAGCTGAAGATCATGCAAATTAGCAAATGTAGGATTGTAGGGTAGAGAATTAGAGATCAGCTGATCGTAATCGGGATTTGGGGCTTTGGGCCACTGGGGTAAATGTACAAGAGACATCAGCGCATCACTGCCATGAATAATAGTCATGATGGCATTGCGGCGCATTGGCACCCACAATCCACCTCGCTCACTGCTCACGCACCTGTACATTTTAACATTTATTAGGTATAACGCGCAATTCTATTCAAGATTAACGAAAACCAGAAGTAAAATAATGGTATAAGATTAGTGATATAATGTGCATAAATATATAATAATGTTTTTACGGTTATACTTGGCCTCTCAGGAAGACAGGAACTCTGAAATGGAACTACTACCTATTGTATTTGAGGATGAGGTATATTCATTAGATTTAGATTCATCGTCTACCTATTCGTTATAAAACTTTCGTCTTCTAAGTTCGAATTTTTAAAATTATATTGTAATAATGTGATTAGGTATTACCTTTTGTGTACCTAAGATGAATACTCTAATGAATCTTTTATTAATGCCAATAAGCCCAGGGGCGCCTCATGTCCCCCCTCATGTCCCCCACTCCCCCAGGACCACCCAGTACACCCCCTACCAGCCCGAGGTGGCCCAGGGGCGCCTCGAGTCTCTGCTCAACTACCAGACGCTCGTGGCGGACATGACGGGCCTCCCGGTGGCCAACGCCAGCCTCCTCGACGAGGGCACCGCGGCCGCCGAGGCCGTCGGGCTGGCCTTCAGGTGACCACTGGGGCCTTCAGGTGACTGCTGGGGCCTTCAGGTGACTGCTGGGGCCTTCAGGTGACTGCTGGGGCCTTCAGGTGACTGCTGGGGCCTTTAGGTGACTGCTGGGGCCTTCAGGTGACTGCTGGGGCCNGATGCCCACAACCATGGGGTATGTCCAGGGGACTTGGAGGGCAGGGGCATCATAGCTGATGCCCACAACCATGGGGTATGTCCAGGGGACTTGGAGGGCAGGGGCATCATAGCTGATGCCCACAACCATGGGGTATGTCCAGGGGACTTGGAGGGCAGGGGCATCATAGCTGATGCCCACAACCATGGGGTATGTCCAGGGGACTTGGAGGGCAGGGGCATCATAGCTGATGCCCACAACCATGGGGTATGTCCAGGGGACTTGGAGGGCAGGGGCATCATAGCTGATGCCCACAACCATGGGGTATGTCCAGGGGACTTGGAGGGCAGGGGCATCATAGCTGATGCCCACAACCATGGGGTATGTCCAGGGGACTTGGAGGGCAGGGGCATCATAGCTGATGCCCACAACCATGGGGTATGTCCAGGGGACTTGGAGGGCAGGGGCATCATAGCTGATGCCCACAACCATGGGGTATGTCCAGGGGACTTGGAGGGCAGGGGCATCATAGCTGATGCCCACAACCATGGGGTATGTCCAGGGGACTTGGAGGGCAGGGGCATCATAGCTGATGCCCACAACCATGGGGTATGTCCAGGGGACTTGGAGGGCAGGGGCATCATAGCTGATGCCCACAACCATGGGGTATGTCCAGGGGACTTGGAGGGCAGGGGCATCATAGCTGATGCCCACAACCATGGGGTATGTCCAGGGGACTTGGAGGGCAGGGGCATCATAGCTGATGCCCACAACCATGGGGTATGTCCAGGGGACTTGGAGGGCAGGGGCATCATAGCTGATGCCCACAACCATGGGGTATGTCCAGGGGACTTGGAGGGCAGGGGCATCATAGCTGATGCCCACAACCATGGGGTATGTCCAGGGGACTTGGAGGGCAGGGGCATCATAGCTGATGCCCACAACCATGGGGTATGTCCAGGGGACTTGGAGGGCAGGGGCATCATAGCTGATGCCCACAACCATGGGGTATGTCCAGGGGACTTGGAGGGCAGGGGCATCATAGCTGATGCCCACAACCATGGGGTATGTCCAGGGGACTTGGAGGGCAGGGGCATCATAGCTGATGCCCACAACCATGGGGTATGTCCAGGGGACTTGGAGGGCAGGGGCATCATAGCTGATGCCCACAACCATGGGGTATGTCCAGGGGACTTGGAGGGCAGGGGCATCATAGCTGATGCCCACAACCATGGGGTATGTCCAGGGGACTTGGAGGGCAGGGGCATCATAGCTGATGCCCACAACCATGGGGTATGTCCAGGGGACTTGGAGGGCAGGGGCATCATAGCTGATGCCCACAACCATGTGGTATGTCCATGGGGACTTGGAGAGCAGGGGCATCATAGCTGATGCCTACAACCATGGGGTATGTCCAGGGGACTTGAAGGGCAGGGGCATCATAGCTGATGCCCACAACCATGGGGTAGGTCCAGGGGACTTGGAGGGCAGGGGCATCATAGCTGATGCCTACAACCATGGGGTATGTCCAGGGGACTTGGAGGGCAGGGGCATCATAGCTGATGCCCACAACCATGGGGTATGTCCAGGGGACTTGGAGGGCAGGGGCATCATAGCTGATGCCCACAACCATGGGGTATGTCCAGGGGACTTGGAGGGCAGGGGCATCATAGCTGATGCCCACAACCATGGGGTATGTCCATGGGGACTTGGAGGGCAGGGGCATCATAGCTGATGCCCACAACCATGGGGTATGTCC